TAGAAGTTCTCCCCAGAACCTTCTCTTCTCCAGGCTGAACAGCCCCAACTCTCTCAGCCTGTCCTCACAGCAGAGGTGCTCCAGCCCTTGGATCATCCTCGTGGCCTCCTCTGGACTCAACTCCAGTCGGTTCCACGTCCTTCTGATGTTGGGAGGCCCCAGAACTGGACACAGTGCTCCAAAGGGGTTTCAGGAGAGCGGAGCAGAGGGGCACTATATGGTGGTATTGACTGTGTGTGCACTTACATAATATTTGATTAATTACCTGTATGATCAAGCTGGTACACAAGTAATTGCAGACAGACTGAATTTAGTTAGGACCAGATAATTCTCTTACTCAGACGAAAATCAAACAAATTTCTGTCAGTATGAGTAAAAGATGGTTTGCGAATAGCGCTGGTGTCAAAGATGGTGTAGTAGCATTTATAGCTGAAGACACAAAGGAAGGAGGAAGCAGATCCATGGTCATGTCACAAATGTAACATCTGCCAGTTGAAGGTATGTGGAAAACTAGATTTTTATTTTAGCACCACGAAGGAATTTTGTTGTGAACTCTTGGTGATTAATTGCTATTTTTATTGTATATATTCCCTCACTATATATTATACTTTGGACTCAGGCAATTACTATAATTGCATTTGAATTATTTACAGTAATTATAAATAATTGCACTAATGTAACATCAAGTGGAGGATAAACACCCAGGGGCGATAGGTGAAATCAGAAACCCAGATACTGTTCAGCTGAGCATGAAGAAGAGCTCAGTTCATCAGAGAAGTAACTGGGGAAGGGGAAAGCACACCCTTTGAAGTTACTTACACGCTGTAGCATCTTAATTGCTAATGGCTCTTCCTATCATCATCACTGACAATTAAGGAAGCACTTCTCTGTCCTGTTGTGTTCTTGGGTAACTGAAGCATGGAGTAGCTCTTTGTGGTCTCAGGTGAGATACTCAGTGTCTTTAGTGGAGTCAAGATACTTTGGATAGGTCTCCAGAGTTTCCATTACAAACACAAGCCCTTTTTTCATTATTATTATTATTATATTTTTTTAAAGGAAGGTCATAACAAGAGTCTTGCCATCCATTATAGTTTAAAAACGTAGATGTTCCATTATGCAGTCAGATTCCTTTTGATCATTGCTTAGATCTTTATTCTTCATATGTAATTTTTTACTGGTAGTTCTTCCCTTCATTTTCCCACACATTTCATCATAAAAGCTGAGGGGAAAAAAAGTTGAGGGATAAACTATGTATTTGCTTAATGAATTTGGACTTGTGTATGCCATTCAACTGAAAATACATGTATTGAAGAAGGTCATATGATTCCAGTCTCCTCAATTCTGGATGTGTACCATGAGCTGAAAGCTAGACTTACAAGCCTTGTGCCGAGACAGACTTACTGCAGTCATTTAAGACCCTTGATCTAAGTAACGCTGAGGTCGTGTTTTGAGGAAGTCCAGGAAAAAAAGTGAAAATAACAATTGATTTTGAGACTTACCAAGTCTGTAACAGTACTTTAAAAAGGTAAGGTGGGATGAGGACAGATTGAAGCTCTTGGAAATAGAAGAACTGGCCTGGAGTGATTGCTGGTTGCCTGATCCAATTTTTTTACTGGTATCTGCAATTGAGTTGCTTCTGTACTGAGGAGTCTTGTCCTTGATTGTTGTCCTCTGCTCTCTGGTGCCTAGAGCAGCATGCATTCTTGGCTGATAAAAGGATGGCTCTGAAAGTTCTGTATTGCTGCTTGGTTTTGGTTTGCCTTCTCAGGATGCCCAGCTTCAGCAGGCTGTGTACCTTTTGCTCCCTGGTCTACTCTTTATCTTTCTCTGAGGATGATTCTTAAACAGCTCATGTTGACACTGTGAGCCAGGTTGGGGAGAGCTTGTTGAAATGATGGTATGTAGAGAGAGGTGGGTTTCACAAAGGTGGGAGGAAGTGCCGAGGTCTGGTGGAAAGCAGAAGTGGGAATGGGGAGAGTACAAAGATGAAAAATGTCCAAGAGAACTTTGCAGTCTCAAGACTGAACACTAAGGCTGGCTGCAGATTCCTTTTGGTACCGCATTGAGTTTTCATGATATAAGTTAGACCTGTAGACATCTTCACTCAGCAGAGTGGAAGAGCAGTGTGGTACTGGAATGCCTCTTGCACAGCTTCCTAATGGGACAACTCATCACCTGTCTCATCGCGTAATTAGCTGAGCAAGTGGTAGAGCTGTAGCCATGAGTCCTTTCCCGGTCACTGCTGATGAGAGAACGTTCATGGCATTCACTTTTCCTCATGAGGAAGTCCCAGGTGAGTGGATGACTTGGGGAACAGAAAGCATCTTTTGTGTGCCAGGGCAAGGAGCTTGTGTCTCCTGAACTGGAAGTGGCTTCTGTTACATCTAGTCTGAATGCTCCAAGTCTGTGGAAGCTACAGATTTGGGGAGGAGATGCTGCTTCCCCACTAACAGTCTTTTCCCCTGGCAGCTGGGCTCTTTCACTGCAGTTCTCACCTGCATACAACAGAGAATGTTTCTGTCTCTGGGTGTATTATGGTGAAGATACCCACTGGTACATAAAGTATGTGTTGGCTCTTCTCACTGGGTAAGATCCTGAAACCAGATAACGCTTCAACATGCAGAAACCTAAATGATCTTTTGAACCAGGAATGTTCTTCTGAGTCATGACCGATGATGTACCAAGTAATCCTGAATTTAGAGCCTCAGAGTATTCTGGAGTTGCAGCTGTCTCTCTCATGTTTTTTCTGCTTTGATTGCCACTGTTGTGTTCAGTAAGGTCTTGTGCATGTAAATACTTCTGGTGTTGAAGAGGCAGGGTATTTCTTTGTTTGTTTTTTTTTTAAGTTAAAAAAAATATGTGAAAACAGCGTGTAGAGGAGGATGTTTTGCTTTTTTCTGCCTAAAATTCTCTCTGAACTCTCCTTATTGGGGAGGATACTTGGAGCTCCTGTTGATTTGCTTTTTTGGTGACCATCTTAAATACTGAAACATTGTGGTTTTTATCTCTCTCACAAATGGCCAAGTTAAAATCCTGTTTAGGAATGTCTGTCCTTGATGTGTGTGTATGTGAACGTGAAGTATGTGTTTGCAGAATGGATATCACTCTCTGCTTTAGATAGACAGTGGGAACTTCACAGTGAACAGCTATTTTTAAAAGGCTTTTTTGTGTCCATGAATATTATATATAATTCAGTAGCCTTATGAGGAATGTATGGTCTGAGAATAAGTTAATAACATAAGATTTACCTGGACACAAAGATAAATAAGTTTACTTGAGTTTAGGATTAAAGCCATATTTGTAAAATACGAAATGATGTGTCAGATCCTTTCAGATTAGTTTACTCTCATTGGCAAAGGTTTTTGTTTTATTCTCTTGGCTGGAATGTGTGGGAACTGTGTAGTTTCTTACAAGACACTTTTTAGACAATCCAAACCCTAACATTTTACCATCATATATTTGTGTGTTGGTAAGAACAAGAGGTTTCTTGGTCACATTTGGCTTTAGTCTTGCTTTTAAAAAAAAAAAAAAAAAAAAAACAGGAAAAACCCAACAAAAAAAACCCCCCAAACAATAAACCCAACTGCTTTATTTTGTGAGGGTGTCTTTCAAGACTGGTGCTTCTTAAAAGATGTTCATGGTAATATTACAGGAGCGAGGGAGCTAGCTCTAAGGAAAGCACCACATGCCGTATTGGCTCCACCTAGGTGAGCAGGCATTGCTTGGGCAACCCAAGAGGGAATATTTTTAATTGGATTTTCTCATTAGGGATATCATGATGAGGTTGTCATAATAATGCAGTGTGCATGCGTGCTTCAGATTGGAAAGGTTAGACTTCATCTTCGTAATCATTTTTGCAATGTAATTCATCAGTTGGAGTTGTGAGTAGATTACTAACTGTGTGGTATCTGCAATAAACTCTGGATTTTCACAACTTGCATAATGCAGAAGCATTAATAAAATCTTAGTTTGCTAACAGAAAGTATTAGGTAGTCTTTGATGCTAGTTTTTGTCTGAGATGCTACTCTTATAATAGTTATAATTCTTTTACTCTGATTTCAGGAAGGCTTAAGAACCTGAAAGGTCATCTGTTAATATTAGGAAATTTAATTGTATTTAGCAATGTTTGTAATTAGTTTTGTAAAATCAAGCTAATACTTTGAGAAAATTTTATGCCTGAAACATACATGATCATCGAAACTTCTCAGTGACCATGATATGATATTCTTCAGAGAGGACGCATTTCATTGTTATTATGCCACCTCTGATGGTTTCTTTTATTCTCATGGTGAGGGAGGGGGAGAAAAGAGAATGTACATTAGTATTGGCTGATTCATTTATTAACAAAACACGAAATATTGCAGGCTTGTAGAATCACTTGGATCTTAGAGGCTTTGTTGGTTTTGTTTTAGAGTGTTCATTCTCTGGAGAGATTTGTCATCACCAAAAATAGTCATTGAAGGAAGATCCAGGATTTTTTAAATTCCTAACTGCACAGTCATACTTCTCTTACTACTGATACTACTGCAGGGCGTCTGGAAATCTGTAGAACAAACCTGGACTTGTCATTAAAAATTGTAGGTGGTGTCTTTGGGTGTGAGAGGTGAAAGGAATGGCTGATTTCAGACTGATCATGAAACAGTACTTTTGGTGGTAGTCCAGACTATTTTAAAAATAAAACTAAAGAGAAAACAACTTTCAGCATGTATGTCATAGGTTATTTGGGATTTTTTTTAAATGTTAATGCTAAATTATAGTAGGGCATAATTTTTTCTTGAGCACTTCAGAAAAAAAAGAAATAAAATGTGTGTCAGATGTGAAGTAGTTGGAGTTCTGTCTTTGTTGACTGAGGCAACCCTTTAGGTAGCCCTCTCAGTGTTTTGCATGACAAAATCAAGGACAAAATGTGTGCTCAGTAAACACTTTAACAGTAAGTAACTTGTGTTATGTTCTTGTGTATTAAGAACAAAATTTCATATATTAAATGTCTTCTATTCCAGGAAAAACATTGGTGGTTGATGCTCCTGATGGACACAAAGCTCACTTCTCTCAACAGACTGTGCTTAACAAAGGACTTAGCAAGTCTATGGGATTTCTGTCCATTAGAGGAACACAAGATGAGGAAGAGTTTTTCCAGGGCATTTCTGCAGGTTACAACTCGGGACAGGAAGATATTTTCTATCCTGGTCGATGTAAAACCAGTGAGTCTGAAAAAAAAGGTCACCTTCATACAGATGTCGCTCCCAAGCGGAAAGTATGGGCTTCCTCCACAGACTTGCTCTGCACAACTGACAGTACAGCTGAGAGAGACCATGCTGGAGGTTCTCACGGGCACAACCATCAGTGTGAAACATTTACAGTACGGACTTCTACTACTCCCAGAAACAAGGAAGCAAGATACTCTGACGGGAGCATAGCGCTGGATGTCTTCGGACCACAAAAACTGGACCAAACACGCCATGTGCCTGAGACATCAACTTCTGCAGCAATCTCAAGTGCCTTTGACAGGATAAGAGAGAGACAGAAGAAGTTGCAGCTTCTGAGGGAAGCTATGAGTGTAGAAGGTTAGTGAAGCTTTTTGATTTTTCTGAGTATTCCAGTCATTAAACAAAGATTTCTCTTTACAGTAAATTTCAGTTCTCTTCTAGCAGCTCTTGAAACTGCTGAGGTTTCTTCGCTTCGTCTTCTTGTTTTTAGGTAAAGGGAAAGCATTAGAACATCTGTTGCCAATGAAGATAAATGTGCTTGTC